ATATATATACATATATATATATATATATATATATATAGTGTATAAATGTCATGAACATAAACAAGTATGGAACTGATGGAGTGACTGATCTGGCACAATGGGATTAAAAACGAAACGACAACCCAAGTGGAGAAATATCACAGATATGGTCATTCGGTAACCCTACACTCACGACGTCTATAGGGCCGTGAAAAAGAGCCACTGAAATTAGAAGGATTGGTTGCAAAAGGTTACCGACAAGAGAGTCTACATGTCACACTCTACCAATGTACGTGGACACAAGAAAACAGCCATCCAGGGCAATTACACTGCACATTTGGTTAATATGTGGCACACAGAACAACCATTTAGAAATCATAAGCAAAAAATTCAAGACCCAAATGAGAAAGATAGATTCAGTGTGTTTTTTGTGAACTGAGTGGGGCCCAATCAGTGTTGAAAAAATGCTGTCTAGATGAGTTTATTCACGTGCTCCAGAAAAAAAAACAATGATCAATTTATCTAATTGAGGTCAAACATATGTAAGCACAGTGCCTATGGAACGCTTTACTCTTTCATCGGCTGCCCACCAAACATACAAAACTCCATAAGATAGTGTGGTTGGAAATTCAGCGTTTCAAATGAACAGTGCCGAGTGATCAAACACCAGCGGGTGGGGTGATGAGTTGAGCGAATCCATAGTTGACAGTGCAGTAGACTGTGGTGCGTTTGCCATCAGTAACAAACACGACGTCAACAGTCCTGACTGAGGATGATCGCACGGCAGACTCGATTATGCGGTTACCATAACAGAGTTGAGTCCTTTTAAGGAAAATCTGAAGGAACCGCAGTACAGCTGACCATTAAGTCTTGGTGCGACTGTTATTAGCTAATTTCAGTGGTGCTTTGGCCACTGGTTCTGATGTTTATGAAGGCTAGTGGTAGGTTACTTCACCCCTCCATTATAGCGTTCGTCACACAAAACGGTTCTTCTAGAACAAGAGAGGTTGATCACAAGAGGGTGAAACAACGGTGCCCAGTTGCGTGATATCCACGACGGTTATGGTGGTATCATTGCGAGCATGAATGCGATTATCTTTATCCCAAAGCTGCATCATTTCCAAATGTGGTTACGTGGGCAGCAGCGCGCTACTCAACAGTTTTGGAACCATTAGGAAAATAGTCCTGTGTGGATACGTCGTAACACGGACTATACTGGTTCAGAGCAGAGCAAAGCCGATAGTGTCATGATGGAGGTGCCGATAAACAGAGGCAACTGCGCTGTTAGCGTAAGACAGATTTTCATGCATGTGTGGGCACCAGTCGAAATCAACTTCAAAACCTGGATTTCACCCCGTGAGGCAAAGTTAATCTAGTCTATAGGTCAAGGAGAATCGTTCGGCTGTTTCACTCTTGTTCAGAATCAACAGCGGCATAAATCTCGCAATTCCTGAGGCAATCAAATACAGGCTATCTCCCTGGTCGTCGCATGAGGAGCCAGTCGATAACGCAAACGGTGCGGTGGACGCAGTAGGACTAAACATGTTCCAAATGTAAGTTGACTACCGATCCAGCAGCTACTTGTAGCTAAATGGGACAGTGTCCAAAATTCAGCTGGGAAAACGCGATTACAAAACTCTATCGAGGTTTAAGAGGTACACACTGCATATGATGCTCAACAGGGATCAGACATGTGCTGAATGCATTTCCGCCCTTCAACAAAGTTTTGACTTGTCTTACAATATGGAAGTGAGAACTGCGGTTTGAAAACCTCTGCGATGCTCACAACGTAGAGTAACGTCTGCAAAAATAGACTGTCAACCACGGCTGACTGATGGAACCAAGTGCCTCCCAGCTTCAGTAGATCCGATTGAAGCAACAAGCGAGTTGTTTGACGCCTCCGAGAAGAGGGAAGCAGACGACGTTGGAAAACTTGGAATGCTACGTCGATATCTAAACACAATTTCGCTAACCGGTGGCAGCACACACTGGATCAGCAAAACGAGTGTAGCCAAAAATCAAAACTATTGATTGAAAATTGACTTAAGTTCGTAAACATGTACGCACCTAATTAAGTTGTTGACCGTCATGGTGACGGATTATAATTCATACGGACATATTTCATCACCGGAATCGGAACATTGTTCACCAAAGGGACGGCCACACGGTTGTCACCATGACTGTCGTATGAAATAGCCTGGTGAGTTACGAAAAGCACCGTCATTTGCACAGTAATTTGGTTATAAGAACATATCCAACTGAATTCCGGCTGAGTCTCCCATTTACGATATTGCATAAGTGATTGGGCCGCAAAAAAGCCACGTCAGATTTTGGTAGAGTATAAGATTGACAGAAGCTGGGGAAGTTGGGCCGCCAGATGAGCCTTATGAGGGATAAAACTAGTCATGGGTAATCTTATGAGTAGTGCTGCGTCAACTACAAGTCTCGAGAGCCTTCTCGAGTCTAATAGTTCCCATTTGTTGCTCACGAAATTCCACGGGTTCTTTCATCAAATATTCAATCCTTGCTGAGGAACAGTGAAAGCCAGTAAGTCCGGATACATCTGAACAGCCCATGCTCGAACTCGGCGCCTGTGTGCTAAACACAGACCTAATCCTCCTCCTCATCATCATCATTATCAGCTGTAGTAACCGCGTACTCATCGTACAGTGGTTGTAGCTGCCGCAGTTTCGTTCACCGATGATTTGGGGGGGAAGGGTAAGTAGCTGCACATTGCAGGAGGGAGCTGATAAATTGGTGCATAAATCCACCACTGTCAGTGGGCTGTCAAGTGGGGGGTTGGTTGGAAAGGGAGCTATGCGTTGAAGGCAATAGCTTGGATGCACGAGGGCCATTGAGGGCGCGACTGGGCCATGTCTGACAACGTCTCTAGCCATTGATGTGGCCCGTCTCAGGGTCCTCATCCAGGAAGACGGCAGTGACCAGCGCAGCTGAGTTTGCTGGTAATTGCATTCATACTTCGCTGCCAAGTCATTGTTTGACCGCCTCTGGCTCTCTTCCACTCTTCACTTGGTGTCAGACATACGAGTTGTCACAAAACCATTCTGCCCAGTAAACGGTAGACTGTCTGCATAGTGCGTGTGTTCTCCAAAAATGCTGGTTCATTCAATGGCCAGTAAAATCCTGCCGTGCAGCTCAGAAAACAGAAACCCTAGACTGGATTAATACGGCAATAAAAAGAAACTAGGAGGCAATACTTCGCCCTGTAGGATCAAAATCGGCGTCAAGAAGACAAGTAAACGCAGGGGAAAGATGTAAGGGCACCAATGCTGTGTGGGGTGTCACTTCAAAACAGAATCACCTTTAGTAGCAAAAAACTGCCATCAGCGCACCACCGGGAATAATAAACTACTTACTTTGTCCTGTTCCAGACACAACAGACTTGCAAGGCTGGCATCGAAATAGGATAAACGCGTACATCCGTTTTTAAGCTCCTCGGAACCATGCGAGTGACTATTTCCTCACGTGATCACGCTGGTGGAGGACACTTTCCCCGGCCATCAATGTGCACAATGTTACTAGCCAACACAGTTGACATAAAGGCTCACTTACTTCGAACCGAATGAGCTCCAAGTACTGTGATGTCATGAATACAGATCTTGTCACAATATAATGCAACTTCCTTGTGCATGTTGAGGTCCGTGTCTAATTCACCAAAGGAATTTCAACTTGCTGGCCAATAGCTAGAGATTCGAGGCCTAGCAGAGTAATAACAATGAGTGTATTGCGTTATTTTGTCCTTGATAGGGAACTGACTGCAGGTAGCATGGACAGCGGCTGTAATATCATATGGGTTGTTGTGGTCAGACATACGAGTTGTCACAAAACCATTCTGCCCAGTAAACGGTAGACTGTCTGCATAGTGCGTGTGTTCTCCAAAAATGCTGGTTCATTCAATGGCCAGTAAAATCCTGCCGTGCAGCTCAGAAAACAGAAACCCTAGACTGGATTAATACGGCAATAAAAAGAAACTAGGAGGCAATACTTCGCCCTGTAGGATCAAAATCGGCGTCAAGAAGACAAGTAAACGCAGGGGAAAGATGTAAGGGCACCAATGCTGTGTGGGGTGTCACTTCAAAACAGAATCACCTTTAGTAGCAAAAAACTGCCATCAGCGCACCACCGGGAATAATAAACTACTTACTTTGTCCTGTTCCAGACACAACAGACTTGCAAGGCTGGCATCGAAATAGGATAAACGCGTACATCCGTTTTTAAGCTCCTCGGAACCATGCGAGTGACTATTTCCTCACGTGATCACGCTGGTGGAGGACACTTTCCCCGGCCATCAATGTGCACAATGTTACTAGCCAACACAGTTGACATAAAGGCTCACTTACTTCGAACCGAATGAGCTCCAAGTACTGTGATGTCATGAATACAGATCTTGTCACAATATAATGCAACTTCCTTGTGCATGTTGAGGTCCGTGTCTAATTCACCAAAGGAATTTCAACTTGCTGGCCAATAGCTAGAGATTCGAGGCCTAGCAGAGTAATAACAATGAGTGTATTGCGTTATTTTGTCCTTGATAGGGAACTGACTGCAGGTAGCATGGACAGCGGCTGTAATATCATATGGGTTGTTGTGGATCATTGCTTCAGATCGCCAATATTTGAACCACGACTGACTGTGTATTTACACGGATAGAGTCGAGTGGAGGCGAGGTCACAAGTGACATCAACCTTCTATGCACGGGATTCACTTAAATACACGGTTGGAACAACTCCGAGGATGAAACAAAGGACTACGTAACAGGCAACTGTTGATTCGTAACAACCGTCAGTCAGCTGATACGCATTTGTGGCGTATAGGCAGGTAAATGAATCGGATGGTTCCACGTCGAATAACATATAACACGAATGAATATAAAGAATTGAGACAATAAAAACGGATATGCGAATGTCGGGTGGGAATAAAAAACACTCACTCGTGTCGCCAAGCGTCCAAACCCCCGTCGACCACGTTCAAGTAGGTCTGACAAATTCGAGCGTACGTGACTTGGAACTCGACTGATACAATCCTCGAAATCATCTTGATGAATCATTCCCAAATCGGAATTCAATTCGGCCAGTCGAGATTCAATGAACTAGAATGGTGGAATGGAAGGTACGGAAAAGATAAGGAAAAACCAACCTAAAAGCAAGCAACACCAGCTGAATTCTCTTACTCATCACTTCCACAAAGACGGTTTGTTGTCGACTGGGACACTGAAGGCATTACTATTTTGGTAACCAGATAGCTGAGTGTGTCGCTAGGTGCATTCCTGTGATAAAACTGACAGGGTCCTCACAATAAACTCGCTTGTGGTCAGTTATAGTCGAACGGAACGCAACATTTACGTGTTAGCCGCATAGTGGCATTACGGGGATGAATGAACCGCCATCCTCCACCTCAACATCATCATCAGATGTCAAATGTGGAAAGTCTGTGTTGGCTGTGCTAATAGGTTTGTGCACTTAGACAGATGAAGCGATTGAAAAGTTTACTCAAGTCAGAATTGGTAAACATTGTAATACTATACCCCAGGAGGGAAACCTCATGAATACAAGCCGCTCCTCGGGAAATTCAACAGTGAGCAATGCCCGTCAGAGGTCAGTGGCTAGAGCAGGAATTTACTGACCAGAAGATCCGTGGTTCGGATCTGACCTGTGCATCCCTGTCTATGCCTGGGCAACCTGGCAGTACCCCCACCCCCGTGCTTCCTTCGGGTGGCATGGCAGCTAGGTACCGAAAGGGTGCCACAGGTGAACGATTTAATCTGAATTTTGATACCCCGTCAAATTCCTGTGGAAATTCGTGTCAATGAAAAGACCGCTCACTACCTGTTTACAGTTCGCTACTATGTGAATCGTGAAGTGACTTCGTCCTTCACTCTGATTAAATACCATGACCACCAAAAAACGCAGAAAGAGGCCACGAGGGCGTATAACACTTGTGAACGACATGAAAAATAGTTCAAAAGTTGAGGTTAAGGCTTCTAAACTGTTTGGCACTTGTGTAACCGAATTGACTTCGAAAAACTAAAACTGCGGACGGGAATGTTACGATGCAGTAAATATTGGGCTTTATCTTACACTGCAACAAACATCGAGCTTAACTTTCTTTGCCAACGTTTTGGTGCCTTTCGTCATGTAACGGTTGGTCAACGTGGCATATCCGTGTGCCAAACACTGGAAGAGACAGATTGCAAGTGCGTCGATGCAGAGTTTTGATACACCGTAGTGTGCCATTATATGGTTGATAGGTGATGATGAAAGCTAGCTGTGTGAGATATCAGTCATGCAAATTTAACCTTGGAAATATGAGTATCAGTAACTCACATGACTTCAATGAATTCCCAATAAACAAACAAGTTCTCCTATTTACCTGATGAAACATTTGTGATTGAAGTAATTCACGTAGGTAAGCCTGACATTCACGACCGCGGGTTGCCATAAAAGCATTCGGATCGAAAGTCCAACTTGACGGTATTAATACGTGGGTAAATGTGCCACTCTTGGCCCCCCTGGTCATTGCCTCACGATAGCCGCCTGAAAAGATGAATATTTAGCATACAAACGGAGCACCGGATAAGACGGATTCATACCTGAGTATAATGTGAAGAATTTGTGCATTAAAAGCTCATGGTATGTGTGAGAGACGTACATAACCAAGAAGTTCGTGTCGATGGCTGGTTTCAGACTATCCCAGAAACAGCCTCAAGGACGATGGAGGATAAACGTTAGAAAATATACTGGTTGACCAAAACGCGGACACTTCTCCAAGAAGATTGCACGTTTCTAACCAAAAGTGATCTGTTTGGTAAAGCGTCCCCTCCCGATGGATTCTATTGTATAACGGCTGTCGCGGTGTACGAAGTGAGCCTAAAAGACTTTGTTGTCTATCATAAACCTTATATAATTCAGAAGACGACTCAGACGGTCACAGAGGTCATCAGAGAGCTAGTATTCTATGAAATTATATATCCGGTCCGATGTTCTTGAAGCATGTATAGTGCAAATACGCATACTGGTGGGAATGCTACAACTAAGAGCTTCCAGCAAAATAGGCTTCGACAAGATACCGGATGAGACTCATCCTTGGGAAATTCCCAACAGTCGGTCTTTGTGTGACATCCAACTTCAGGTTTCAGGGAACAAGAGTTTCAAGAGTACATTAACCCTAGACGAACTCATGTCCATGTCTGACACGTTTAAACTTAGACTGTATTGCGGCCAGGTCTCATTGAAACTACCAATGGAATGCAACGCTCATAGGATAATGAAAAGAAAAATTCTGAACATAATCGAATGTCGAAATCGCGTGCATCTGCACGGAACCTAAAGAAGCAAATCGGCATGAATGACACACGAGATATAACAGTGTACTGGCACTGTGGTGGGAAAACAACTGCCCGAACGTTAATCCAGCCGCATTTGCTTATCCAATCGAAGGTGAAAGACGTTAAACCCCAGGTGAGCTAGGATGACTGTAACATCGGCTGATCAATCCACGAAGTGGATCCGAGATGAGTGCGGTAGAGCTGATGTAAGAGCGCCAAACTAACGGAACAAGCAAGAAATATTGTCAATAAGATGGGATTTGGTTGGTCACTCTCAAGTAAACAAACCAGACGAACATAATCGGCTAGTAAGGTCAGCACACTTTGCCTAAGGACCTAAGTCCCTTAAAACATATGATCTCGAAACGTGGGAAGTAAGACGCCTAGTTTAACAGTCCATGCACACGGATTGCGATGCATAGGGTGCCCTGATGACGCGAAAGCCCAGGTTGCTGACAGAAAGAACCAACGGTTTGCTGAACCAACAACACCCAAATGCGCAAGCGCCCCATGAGTGATTCTCACCGAGTGTAAAGCCCATACAAACAACCGTAGGGGACGTGCTCGTCATACGGGTAAACCTTGAAATCACGAAGTATGTAAGACATTTAACTCGGCTGCGGTTATCCAACTTCTATTCCGCTGCCACCCCTTTTCAAGTCTTTACCTAAGGTGTCCCCTAAACAAAGAAAATCTAATTAATTACGAGGATGAGGGGCTGTAGAATGGCATATAAGCTACGGAGCAGTTAGACTATGGAAGGAAGGACAAGTGAAACCAGCCGCTTATCGTGGTATGCAACTTATCAGTCAGTTAGGCATCATTGTTATCACATCGTGTCTTCCCACAAGCGCTCATATAATTTGTTTGAACTCAACCTTAAACTAAGACTGTATTAACGCCCCAGTAAGGCAGTATCACTCCAGCTGCAGATTTTAGAGCTTTGGAACCATATGTGTTTCACCATCGTCCAAGTTTGAATGAAGACAAATATCGGAGAACGGCAAGATGTTATTGAGTGGGCGTGGAAACACAAACACGCCCACATGTATACCCCATCAGCAGCAGTGACCGAAAATCTAGACTGGATTCAACCAACTCACCTAATAGAATAGCCATCGCCTCCAGAAACGGACTGACTAGAGCCGCTGCTGCTGCCTGCTGCGTAGGACGCTTGCGGCGTAGTATGGCGTGGTGCGAGGAGAAGCAACGTCGGAGCAACCATTGACGCTAAAGGAGAAAATGCGTGCATAATCAGTGAGAAACGCCGTTTATAATGGTGTCAATTCAATCCACTGACGATTCCACTTTGTTGAGCATACTATCCATACTGAAAACGATCATCCAAGAAACAGACCAACTTCAACTGAATGGCGGTGACAACCCAGGTATGTCTAACCTCGTGGCGACTCTGCATACTTGTGCACAAATACGAACAACAGTTGTTCCACGGATTTTGCGACCCTTGTTCACCTCAGGGAGAGGAGGAAGAGTGAAGTTTTACCATTGTGCACTTTTTTCCACTGATTTGGAAGCTAAGGTGCCAGTTTGTCGGAGTTACTCCATTTTACCAGTCAATGGCCAAATGTGAGTTGTTGCCACTAGGTTGTGAAAAAACACCAGTCAAACAAAGAAGCCAAGGAGCCTGAATGGTTGAGAGTGTTCATACAGACACCTGGTCAATGTATACAGGTAAAAGTGTGACAGTTATTCTTAAGATTATTGAAAAGTATTATGAAACGCCTTTGTAGTCCCTTTCTAAAAGCTTTAAATGATGCGAGTGACCTTTCGTGAGGTAGTCTAAAGCGATTCCCGTATCTCTCTCAAAGACGCCACGTCGAATGTGAACGCTCGTTTCGACAACGTTTTGGGTTAATTTTCCTGAAGGTTTCTAAAAAACGTTAGACTGAAGAAAGTACGCGGTCTTAGATGTTACTAAATCGCTCAACTTTGAAAGCTATGGAAAAGCCGGCGACTAGCTAAAATCTCAGACTTTTTCCAAGAGTAAAAGTATGTGAATACCGGCTCGAGCCACAAGTGATATGAAGATCTCGATAGAAATCCCCGGAAGGAGGAGGTTCCGGACTTGTGACGAGCTCACTGCACTGAGTGACATTAATAACACAATCTACAATACTCCTGTTGTCTTTGTTTTGTAACCCACAAAGCCTTATTAGGTAGCTGCTTCCCAAAACTCACCAAAGCGGAAGGTAACCGCTGTTCGGATGAGCCGCTGGTATAAACAACGTCATTATCCAGATCCACAAGGCGTATTCCTTCGTTCAAAACTTCTTTGGCTTTCTGAAGTTAACCAGTCCGAAGGGTTGAGGAAGAAAAACTAACCTCGACTGCACAAGAGTGTATTCCAGCCACAAACGGTGACGGACAACTAGGATAAGAAGTTCGGAATAAACCAGAGATGAACGTATTATAGCCTACCCAAGAAGGTCAATGCATGTGGGTGGCAATAATGGGTAGATGAGATGAACCCTGAAAAGAATGGGTTAAACGAAGAGAAGTGCGGGGACTGACCATGTGAGCGGATATAACAAACTAAGACTGGCTAATACACACGAGGAAATGCGCTGAAAACGGTTCGAGTAAAATATGACACTCTTCTCTAATAGCATGCTAAACAGAGTTGTGAATCAGTTAAACGAAGTTACCTTTCGAATACAACAATCCAATTACTGATGGACAGTGTGTTGTAGTACTCCAAAATATAGCGCTACAAAGATAGATATTTTGGAAGTGTATTTACGTGATAAAACGGGTGGGAACGTGGGTCGGGTATCGGGATGCTGATGTTCTGAATGGATAAGCACTGGGAGAAGTCACACACATACTGACAGAATCGGGCCCCCGGGATAGACGGGCAAAACAGCTTGATCGTCTTCAATGAAGACCTTGTCGATTAAAACCCCAAGCATTTGGCGTAATCCAGATGAATAAAGCTGTCGTTGATTGATGATCAAAAGAATAGTGTGGAACAATTCAAACCAAGGATGACGACTGGGAACGTTTCATTAAAACAAGTACAGGAACTTACCTCCTCAGACAGACAACATAACCGGAAGTTGGGAGGCAAACACAGCTCACAAAATCTAACTTTCCATCGGCATCAGTGAAAATCAATGTGTACTCCTCCGAAAGGGTACTAGAAGTAGACTGGGGGAAAAGACCTTGGACCTACTTCTTGTGGTTGCAAGGGAACACAAACTCCTTGAGGTTTTGTGCTTCAGATACAATATTTGGGAGATCTGGGGGATGACAATACTCAAGTTGGCAACCTGGATATTGAAGAAAGAACAAAGTCGTACCGTACCTTTGGACGAATCACTGATGTCGTATATAAGTAGGTAGTCAATGACTCTTTCACTCGATCCAAGCCAAGCAGTAGACTGAAATGAACTGGAGTACTTGAGGCGAGTGGCAAACATATTGTCCTTCTACGAAATCCACGGTTAGGACTGAAAAACTAAACAAGAAGATTTAACAATTATTCACGCATTGAAGACATCATTCCTGACATGTCTCCCCTTATGCCCAAGTGTCATTTCGTGCACTCTCAGTCAGCCACTTACAAGAGTTCATATTAAAATTAGGACAAGTCACATACGACAAGGGATAAGAACATAAACAACGACAGACAAGGGTCGTATGGGATCGCATGAGTCAAAATCAACTCATACGGAAAGAACAAGGGGGAAGGATGTATGATATGAGAATACTCACCACCCCCATTTGCAAGGGTACACCTTGTAAACGATGCAGAAAGGCAATGATAACTTTATTCTAAACAATGCATCTGCTAAAATGGCCTATACAAGCACAAACAGGGGAAATTAGGTTTGAACGGTGAACAAAGACAACAAGTGGAATACCATGGACTCGGTGAGAAGAGTAAGAGGAGGAAAAATACCAAGAAAACTTAGAGAGCCGATCACCCAAGTGGATAAGGCTTTGTAACTATAGCTGGAAGATACTGGTTAGAGTTCCGCGGCCGTCTTGCAAACATCTCCATAAAGGTTTGGAAACAGGAGACAACATTTTCAAGTAGACACAAACGAGCACAGTATAACTAAATTCACATGAGCTGAACTTCTGACGTGTTCCAGGAATAGGAACACTCGGGTCAAAGTGATGGTCACCTTAAAAAGATGCAAATCGATCGCGCAAGACGTGTCGGCTGTCAAATAAAGTGAAAACATGCACGGGTTCAAAGTGCGATCGTTCCAGGACCCTTTTAATGGTAGGATGATGCATTTGGACCAGAATCTACTCGCCACTATGCACCAAGCCACAAGCGTCATCACATCATCCTTGATAGAATCATTGTTCATGCCCTGGATCAAAGGCGGAATCAAGGAGTGAAATTCGCCCCCTCAAGTTGGGTTCGTGAAGAAACACTGAGGCTCTGACCCAGATGGTTACGTGGACACGTAATTACGGGACACTGCATTCATTTTTCAAAGGTAAATCATCAGTCATCATCAGAGACAGTAATGTCAGTTTTGACATTGATGCTCCACTGCTGCGCAACCACAATGTTTACTTAACTGTACCTAAGTCCCTAAGATGAAGAGGGAAGTGAATGTGAGACAGACTTGGAATTAGCCGATCACAAGCTTTCTCGGGGTGCCTAAACACCCAAGCGATCAATCGGACAATCTAATTTTTTTTTAGAAAAATATCGTTCAGCTACGGCACCACTTCGGTTCTTAGTTGCCATGCCACTCTAAGGGCCAAGATAATGCCAGGTTGCCGAAATCTAGACAGGAGCTGTCGAGATGGTCAGGTTGGGTTCAATCCACTAACCTCTGCCAGTGATTTTGCTCCTTTACCACTCAGCTATCTGGGGCTCATGATGATGTTCAGGCACAACTTTGTTGAAGCAATAATGCTCCGGAGCAGCGCCGTGCTCAGATTCATTCTGCAGCTTTTAGGCCTTATGGTTGGGCTTCGGTTCTCAGTCTACCGAAGAAGGTCGAATGGAAAGCCAGCTCCACTGGGACGGAACTAAAGAGAACTTCCTCAAGAAATAACCGCATGGTCTCGTTACTTGCTTCCGAGCAACTACCTCTAGAGAGGGCATTATTCAGCTCCAAAAATGTTTTGGATACATGCTGCCCAAGAGGAGTCATCAGCTACTAGATCTGAAGTGATCTAGTGTGGGCTTCAGTGACGGATTCGGTAGGCCACAAGGAAAATGAGCTGAGTTTTCCAGTTGTTTACCGAGATAATGTCATCCCTGACGTGGATTGGGAGCCACGACGAACGCACACAGCACCTCATTTGACAAAGTTGAGATTGGTATGGTAGGCTATGATATAGTCTCCGGATACAGCTAGTGAAGACTTCCATAGACAGCTAACTCTCACCATCCCGTAGACTCGCCAGTGGCAAAAAACTCTGGCATCCTACGCTCGCAGAGGCAAGGTTTCACATGCACGGAATCCCGCATATAAACTAATCTCAACTGAGAAGACGATATTCGGCGGCATGAAGGCATACCGGGTAGAGTTGATACGTCGCTGAATTCCTTGCACGTGCCTGTTGGGGATAAGGATAGAACAAAGGTATTTGTTATATACCAGATAGGATATCAAACTCCATAGTATCATCATCATGTACTCACATTCAAACTTTCACTGATGAAGAATGGCCACTACTAGAAGGTCAGCTACTTACGACTAACCGGATCGAGTGCGGCTCGGAAGTCGATAAAACTGGTTGTTCCAGGTTGCAGGAATTTGAAACGAAACTCTAATGCTCGCCGCCGGAAAACGTTTGGACAATACAGCTCCCTCCAGGACGGCATTCTCAGTTTGGTCTCGTGCGCATATCCAGTGTCGCAACAGAAGGGACGCGAATGATTTGGTAATATCAATTAGACCGTTCATCACCCTTTTTGAGATCGCTAAAAATACCGAGGTAGAAACAATTGCGAAACGGACCGTGAAGTGACTCCATAAGTGCTGAGATATGGGATTCATGGACCTAAGCTGGGACATCAACAATTCAGTTGACCACCTGATATTTCCAATCCGGAATGTTGGGCTTTGTCAGAACCGTGAACTGTGAATATGGGGTCCACCTTCAGCTACGGAAGGGTCCGAATGTACTTCCCCACTCAAGCGTGGTTGCGTTCCTCGTCCCAATAATGTTCCACCTGTTCTATTCAAAGAAGGCGGTGAATCCCCCCCGGCCAATGTCTGTCTAGCCTCTTTGCATCTGTCTAGAAAACCATCCCATAAAACTGCGCTGGGTCAACAGTAGTGCCCATCTTCAAAAGGGGTACTCACAGTGGATTTGATGACTGAACAGGCGTCAGTTTTATTCCTGTCGGCAAGAAGCATCTGGCATCAATAATACTTTATAGGCCAAAGACGCGAAAACTTAGCCCAAAAACATCAGGTGGGGTTTCGACCGGGTGGAGGCCGCAGCGATTACATCTTCACGCTCCTCAGGTATTAGAACAACGTCATGCGTACAAACGATTCGCGATCTTACTGTCCCTTGAATTCCAAGGCGCTTCCGATTCTGTTGATCAGTTAGTGGTTCTAACCATGTCTGCCTAAGGTAGGAGGCGCCGGAAGTTTGATCCTCACCCTGAAAGCCACCTTTATTCTTTTCTTCACAATAAGGCTTTCAAATAAGTCATGGTTGTACGGCAGTGAAGCATCGGTGTTGAACACTGATGTCATGCTGTCGATGATGATGATGATGACTCCCTGAAAGCCAACTCGAAAAACTGTCATCCTTTAAGGAGGTTAACTACCTCCAGCTTTACTAAACTTCATCGCGATGAAATAGTGAAGCGAACGCCGGAAAGCCTTCAAAACTGTCGCTGTTGAGAACCCTGTCAAAATAAAATACGCAGATGACATCGGCCTAATGTTCGAAGACAAAGACCAAACATAAGCACTATTTAATAAAACGACCTTCACCGTACTATCTTTCGGTATGCACCTTGCACCTACGTAGTGTAAGGTCGGAACGAGCAGTCTCTCAATATGGCCCTTGCAATTCAAGGAAGAGGGCAAGATGGGTCAGTGTTTAGAGTGCAAATTCTCTGACCGGAAGGTCCGTGGTTCGAACTCGGCCTCTGCCTCTCGACTTCCCCTGTCTAGGCTTGGGAAACCTGGCAGTATTCCAGCCATCATGCTTCCTTCGGGTAGCATGGCATCTAGACACTGCAACGGTGCTACGCCTAGACGAACAATTTCTTCAGTAGTGTTGAAAATCTCCATTCTTGGCCAGTAAGAACATTCAAAACAAACGATCACCGAATTACTTGGAGGCCACCAACCAGAAGGTGGTGAACCCAGATTATGTGGCTAGCAGTTGCCAATGGAGAGTCTCAAAGATTGCCGCCCCTTCTGGAGAGCCCGAATTAACTCCAACCAGGCCATTATGTGGGATTGCTTATGGCATCGCTCTCCGTCAGCACTGCGCGCGTTAAAGCAGAGCAACTTCGTTCATCAACCTAGGCGATTTTTAGTACGTTAAGCGCATCGAGCTGAGATGGTTCGAAGGCTACTGGAAACGCAGTCACGTTGGGGAAAGAGGCTCCACTCCTGTAAAGTGTAAAGTGCTGCCAGAAAGCTGGATGGGATCAACCAATCACGAGCCCACGAAGGCCAAAGAAAATCTACCAGTGGCGCCCGAGGTGAGTCATCAACTGTAGCACCTTGAAGTGGAAGATTAAAGAACAAGAGCCGATCTGAACTAATTTCAAACTCCTCCAACCCATCAATTCAAGGTTTTGGCAACCACACTAGCCGACAAAAGCCATTAAGTAACACTCAACACTGATCTAGTTTGATAATCCGAAGAGGACTTATTGATTGACTCCCCGTCCGCCTTAAAACCTGGCCAACTTGGTGACCTGTTCACTTGGCCTGATGAAGCTTTTGTGTCAAAAGCGAAACGTTGCCCAATTGAAAACTACCGATCGTTTACCAAGCCCTTCTGAAATGGATGGGATCAAACCTAAACAACATGCTTTTAGACGGGCAAATCGACGTAGCAGACAAATTTATTTACCTGGGCAGTTGTAAGTTCCGGCGGACTGGCTGAAGACGGGATTACTTCTCGAGACGGAAAAGCCAGGACAGCCTTCGCCAACCACGGGCACCTGTAATTGTGCCTACCTGCCAAGCCACCCGAAGAAAGCACAAGGGCCGGGATACTGCTAGGTTGAAAAAGCCTAGACAGCGGAAGTCGAGAGGCAGAGGTCGGGTTCGAACCACGGACGTTTCGGTTATTAAATTCGCGCTCTAACCACTGGGCTATTTCCCCCCGCCGACACCGGTGGCGCCGATGTGAAGTCAGTTTGTCTGTCGAAGACAGGGTACACTGCTACAAGGCCATCCATGCTCATATAGGGATCGGGAACGTGTACTGTATGCGCAGAGGGCGCACGAAAGCTGTCAGCGGGTGACCACTGGTGTCTCAAAGACATTGGTCGGGTGTGGTGGGAGCATCGGATTAGCAATGCTGAGGTGCGCCAGATAGTTTTATGGGAAAGGAACTCTTACACAATAGACGGATTACTCACGCTTCATACGTTACACTGGTTGGAGCATGTACTCCGTACAGCATAGGGACGTCTACCTAGCAGAGCCATTTCCACCCTGCTCTGTAATGAGCAGAAGGGACAAGGAGGAGGACAGGCGATCACCTGACAAGGAAGTATGGAAACACTGACCGGTAGACTCATTCGCTTTGATAAACGCCGCCTCCCTCAATAAGAAATCCGGGACCCTACTCATCAATGGGTATGACAGACAGTAAATAATAATAATAATAATAAATAATCATTCAGCTGTAACACCCTTTCGGTGCCCAGCTGCCATGCCACCCAAAGGGAGCACGAGGGCTGGGATACTGTCAGGCTGCCCAAGCCTAGACAGGGGAAGTTGAGAGGCAGAGGTCGGGTTCGAACCTTCCGGTCAGTAAATTCGCGCTCTAACCACTTGAGTCATCTCGCCCTGACAGACAGTGCATAATCGCGAAGTCAGTGACACTCATGCATCAAACCTATTGATTTCAGTGCGTAGCAATATGCAAAGCGAACTGATAACGCCATTATCTCGAATGCATGGCTGTATATTCCATACTCTTTGATTTTCCGGCGACCGAAAACAATGCCCTGTCCAACCGGCCGCCTTCAAAGCCCGCATTCGGAAACAAGCAGAACAACAAGCTGCTCTTGCTCTTACACTAGACTCGCTCGGCATTGATGTGTGATGTTTCAGGAACGAGAATTGAAGACACAGACAGAGTGGTTGATCTAACCGCCCCATCAGTCTCCACTCGCTCCGGGCTGTGCACCTCTGGTGGCACAGGCTACTGAGGCTGAATGTGCAGGTGTTGTTATCGTCTTAAGTCAACAGACAGGAGTAGCCCTGCTTGACTGGATACTTGTTGATAGTCGTCTCTGTACGGTTTGTCTGGTAACATATGTGAAAGTCTCACAAGCGGGAGGTTGGTCGATGTCTGTCTGTTTGACTAGCTCCGATGCTGCCAAAGACAGGTTTTACCACGCGGCGAGCCAAAAGCTCAGATATCGTGGTGGTTCCCGGAGATATAAATGCAGAAGTGGACAGGATGAGACTCAATCGGGAGGTCGACATGGATTGGCCACGGTACGTACGGACAGTGGTGAAAGATTGCTTCAGATGTGTGCTGATCGCAGACTGTTTTTATGCAGTACTAACCTCCGAAATAGCCCAAGTCGTCTGGCCACATGGTGTTCTCCAAAGGCATGCGGACCACTAACCCAAATCGACCACAGTGCCATCAGCTACCGTTGGCCCGAATAACTGACTGCCGGTTGTTTTGGAACACATCCGTGGATTCCGATCATGCGCTTGCTCGGGGTCGCATAAGGTGCGAACAAATGGGTGGGCAACTGAGAGACTGGCACATCTGGATGTAAGACGAATTTATTAGAATCGTCTTCCAGAATCTTCCCCAAGTGCTTCAACATCAGACGTGAACTCATACTGAGACGAGATTGCATACTGCAGGGAATTTCGCCTGTGGCATGGCAACACCGGGTGCACCCGAGCACTGGATGTCAGACCGAACAGTCATCATCATCATCGACAGCATGACATCAGTGTTCAACACCGATGCTTCACCGTCGTACAACCATGACTTATTTGAAAGCCTTATTGTAAAGAAAAGAATAAAGGTGGATGGGGGAGGGACTTAGTGCTAGCTTAACACAATCATTCCGAGGTGCCTACACCTCCAGACATTCATTCAGGCAATCTGGACAGAAACTGACAACAAGAACGCCACTGACATCGGGTGCCAGCCATATCTTGTAGTGTCTCCAACCAGGCACAGTGAGGATCACGCGGTCCACATCCTGGAAGGCGAGTAGCACCGACAGCACCCAAGCGTTTCGTCATCTCCTTCATACTCCTCTGCCAGGTCAAGGGTTGGCCACCTCTCTGTTTACGCCACTCCGAATCGGGATTATCAGTCGTCAAGTGGAAGTGAGCATGCGAGCTGACTGTTGAGTGTGGTGAACAGAGGAAGCCAAGGAAACGAAAGAGGCCCAAAAGGTCGGTAATGCCAGATTATTTCAGTTGATCCGTGCGACCGGTCCCAGGAAGCAACTGGTGAATGAAAATATAATGGATCGGAATGGAGTAACCATCTTGAATAAAGAACTCCTCGACCAGTGGGCCGAATATTTCGAACAAAATTGCCATCAGCTGCCACATCCGCAGCTGACGTAGAACCCTGGACGGTGAACGTGGAAACACCTACAGCCTCGAAAGTTTACGACTGCATGTCATC